GGTGTTTTGGCTTAAGCAGTCAATTAGTGTGGTTTTATAGGAGGAAAAACCCAAACTGGAATTTATGCTAACATCTTAGAGTGATAGCAACGTTTAGACTCTGATAAATCCTCAAATGAATGTTTTTCAAACTGTGTATTCTGGAGGGAAACTAAATGCTCATATTTGGAACCACTTATCCTTATAACATCAACATTTCTCTAAAGAGCTGTTTTATGTCAGAGTCTCCTTTAGAAACCATGTTTTTAAAGAAATAAACATTTTGAAAATCACATTTTCTAAAAGGAATGGTCTGTAATATAAAACCAGTGAGTTAGGGATGGCTCTTTTGTTTGTCAACCTTCTCTGTGACTCTAAGTAAGAAATGATTGTATGATGGGAACACAGTACCTGAACACAGAGCAACACACCGTCCTAATGGTCAGAGTATCAGGTCTGGAAGTCTTGAATCTCTGGCTTCCAAGATATCAAAATTTGATGGGTTCCTCTTGATTTCTGTGTGAAAAGAATAATAATTTCCTTAGATAGCAGCCTAACCCCATTTTATTCATTTTTATCATTACTATAAATGAGAAATAGCATGCCAGGATATTTGCTGATCACATTAGTCTTCTCTTGGTTTCTATGCAACAATGATGAGATAAAAACAAGATAGCCAAGGTGGGAACAATTCTTAAGAAGTGTCACATACTAGGATGTATTCTTTTTGTAAATACAAAAGACAGTACCTCTGCCTACCAAACTCTAAACTCTGTTATTTGTTCTTATTACCCCATTTATTTTACAGTCCAGGAATTTTACACATACAAGCCTGGAATAATTGGATATAAACAGGGTTTCTTTGGGTCTTTGGTGAAGTCATTGGAATGTTGATATGTCCTTCAAAGAACCTTTCTTATTTCCGCTTTTCACCATTTTATTTGGGAGACCTCATATCTACTGAAGCTTGAACGAGTCCAATTCAATGATTTCTCCTCTCTTGTTGTCACCTCTCCCAACCAGCATTCTTTCCTATTCCTAGTGTATGATATTAGGAAAATACTATGCAGAGCGATATTTTGCAGACACACCTCATCCCATCACCAGCACTGCCTCTCACATATTTACTGTTGTTGGTGCATCTTGCAATGGCCAATGACACCAGAATACTGTTCTGCTCTCCTCAAACCACTGCCACTCTCTGAAGTCAGTGCTGATACGTATGCTGGTAGTGATGAGACAATACTGGATCTATGCCTTCTTGCTGTTATCCTGTCTCCTGTGCAACTGCTCTGAAGGTACTCTTCTGATCTAGGGAGAATTTTTTCCCATAATGTGTGTCATATTTGTAACCAAGCTCCTAAGTAGTGCTACCTACAGTTTATATTTCACAAGGACTTTGGGTGAAAAAAAGTAGTTTCATTGGATTTTCATTGACTCACCTTTTTTCTATAGGAGTTAGTCAAGATTATTGGTACTGTGCCAGAAGGAATAATAAGTTATAGTAAAATCTTTGCTGCTGTACACAGTGAGATGGCATTCTAAATTTAGGCTTTAGGCTTTAGGATTTCACCTTTTCCTTAAGATGAGTTCTTGCCACTGAAGTCACATAATCTTCTTTCAAATATGCGCTTGGTGGATTAAACCTACCAATGTTCAAGCTATAACTCAACATGGTTAATGCCAGGGTAACTGAGGTTGACTTCAAGTTTATGTCTTACCCTTTTATTTAAATATTATTTTCATAACCCCACTCCGCTTTACTTTCCATGCATATTCAGTACTTCATCGTTACACAGTTTCTAACTAGCTATCATCTATCTATGATCTATCTGTATTTTTAAACAGAGAAAGAAAAAAGTGAGGTTCTCTTTAAAGAGTTAATCCATGTTGACACACACCTATGTATATTTTTCCTAAGTCAAAATATTTTAGGTTAGTTTCATCTAGTTGCAATATCTAAAACACCCTATTCATTTAATAACAACATTCAACATAGTCAAGTAATTTTTATAATAGATTCACTGTACATGCAATATAGTCTTAGTTCCCAGTAGCATTTCTAACAACAACAACTGTTCAGCCATTCAAAAACTTTTCATCAACAAAATCAGTGTAGGTATATTGTGTCTGAAAAAGTAGATCAAAAAGTTTATACTTCTATAATGTAGCTCTAGACCAGGAGTAACTGAGCAAGCATTAACTTATGGAATCTTAATAGTCACCTCATTGCTGAAGTAAAAAGGAAACCAAGAGGAAACCTAATAATATTATAAGTTATTTTAAAGGGAGTTCACATTCGTTTGAAGGGTACTTTGCTTCACATACAATATCCACCTTTGTAAAGCCCAAGAAACCCATCTTTGTAAAATACATACATCTTTACAGTTTTCAGAATATAAATCTTTAGAGTAGTATTATTTCTCCACAGATAAAAATTAAAATACTGGGAGTCTTAGAATAATAATAAAGAAACCATCTCACAAACCAAAGAAAACTTGGAACTCCGTGTTAAGTGCTTACTTAACTATAAAAGGGTCAGTGTGTGTTGTAATGAATGGAAAACCGATTTTACTGTATTCTATTTGTGAATATCTTGCAGTAACCTACTTCAGCATTAGAGAGATCATATATTAGAAGTGATTTCTGTAGTCATCGATATATACAAGTAAAATTTAGTTCCTGTTAAATTAACACTTCATTAAAAAAGCAAAATAAAGCTCAACAAATGCCTTTTATGTTAGACTCCACAACAGAAAGAAAATCAAAAATTCAGAGAACAGATTGCCAGTTATTCTACTCTATAGCAGTTAAGTTTCTCAGTTCTTCTTTTTTTTTTTTTTCTTTTGCTGAGTTCTCTGTCACTGGAAACATCTTAAACCAATTTCAAGTGCTACACCTGAATAAACATGTTGTAAAAGTGTTTATGTATTGAAGTGGGTCAGTTCAAGGTATGGTATTTGGCTAGAACTTCTAATTTCTCTTTTTACAGCAAAAGGGCTGCCAGAAGGAGGAAGTCTGAGCTGAATTAATACATTTGTTACAGTGGAAGTAGAATGGAAACTGCTCTGACCACAAATCAAACTGCCTCTTTCATTTATGCCAGTGATAGAGTTTTTCTAAGAAATATAGACTCTGGCATAGAGCCACTGTAAGTTTGCATTTAAAAGAGAAACCTATATGCTTATTTGTTTAAGTTTTACTGCTTTGATTATTTGTAAGTTTTTTCTTGGGTAGGAGGGAGTGTAATGGCATTTGTGAGGCAGATGGCCATTTTCATACTTGTAGAAACAAAACAAGTTTTCCCAATATGTTGTGGAAGAATGGTTGAAGATGCTGATGTTGCCAGGAGTTGTGTTCAACTCCCTTTTTGTAGCCAACACCTCCACCTTTAAAGAACCTCTGTGTCCCTCCCCACAGCTGCATAGCCTCACATGACATGGTCTCGTTTTCTGATGGTAGAAGGTCTCTGCACAATGCAAGCATACACAAAAAGTGTTTACGCTGCCAAAGTAAACTTTGTTAATAGCATGAGTTTATTTGCTAACATGCTATTGATGCTGTTTAATGCACTTGTTTTCCTTTTCTTTCTTATAAGGTGAGTCAGATCCTATAATGGACAGTTTGCTCCTCAGTCTTTACTGAGTAAATACTTGTAGAAAGCATGCACATCTCTCAGGGGACATGGCAGAGTCAAATCATGCACGTATTTCAAATCACATGATGTCTTTCTCTTCAAAGATTGCTAATTCCTGATGCTAAACTAGACATTTTGCATGACTTTTGAGTAATTCTCAACTACATTTACAACTACAATTTAATATTGAATTCATCCACGTTAGGTGATTTTCATGAAACTAGATACCAGCCAATGTTTTTATTTTTATGTATCCTATAAATTATCTTCAGTGATAATTTGAATTAGAAGAGCACAGCATCAGTGAATTGTATATGGAGGAAAATAGGTATACTAACTTCCTAGGATATTTTTGGAATTGAATAATATGTGGAAAATACTTTTTTCCCTAAAAAAAAAAAAAGTCTTGTACACATATAGAAAGCACTTTAAACATATTTGGCATCACTACTGTACTAATGATTCTTACTACCCCAATGGGAGAGGCCATTAGTCAACATCTACTGCTGGTCTCTAGGCAGCGTGGTTTATAACAGGTCCCTGTTCAGGCCCTGGTTGCAGTCCTGGTTTCTGGTACACAACCAAAGAGCTCAGGAGGATCTGGGATACATGCTGATTTAGAAACAAATGCGATTCTCCAGGATTCCCTGGATGTTTTTCTCTTTTTTGAGAGCCTCCAGATTTGTGTAAGATCTTCTGAAATCCTTTTACTAAACATTCAGGACTGTCAAAAACTCCAAGAATAAGAAACTCTGAAATGTCCCTGTTTACTTCAAAATACTTCACAATGAGACAGAACTGAAGCTTAAAGCAAACCTCTGCCCCCAGCAGGGGTTTCAAGAATGACTTGTGAAGAGCTTTCAGTAGAGCACAGCTTTGTAAAGTATGTTGGGCACAGGCCAGAGGTGAAGAGGGGAAGGTTAACCAGCACTAATTAACACTTGAATGACTGGAAATGCAGAGGAGGAGTACAAACACCCTCCTTGTCATTCAATTTTTTATCACTTAGAGGAAAATTATGGGGCATTTAATGCAGAAGAGCATATAGCTAATATTTTTGAAATAGTTATTTAATATGGAAGCTTCCAGGCTGATGGCAGTCAAGCCTTTCCATTTATAATATTGCTGAACTCCTGGTCTGAGAAGTATCAGTGAAGTCAGCCAGAGGGTGTTCTGTGGTAGAAGAATGATGCAAAATAAAAAGCCAAGCATAGATAATTGTCTATAATAGTAAACTCTCAATGTTTATAACAATCCTAGGCCTGTAAAGAAACATTCTGATAATGTTATAAATGGTTCCCATTCTCAAAGTACCCTCCAAATTCATTAGAATTTGGTAAATTTTACCGCTTTTCATAAACCCAGTGGTGTCTTCGTTTTTTAGGGCGCAGTATCAACGTAAAATCTGCTGGTCTCGTGGGAAGACATGGACCTCAGTCAAAACAACCATTCATGGTGGCCTTTTTTAAGGCAAGTGAGGTACTTCTTCGATCTGTGAGAGCAGCCAACAAAAGGAAAAATCAAAACCGCAATAAATCCAGCTCTCATCAGGACTCATCCAGAATGTCCAGTGTTGGAGGTAAGATAAAATGAGAGCAGCATTTGTGCATTGAGAGTTATGGGATCATACTCCAAATCAAGTAGCCACAATAAATTTACCCTCTTGCTGTACTTTCATTTGGTCTATTAACTCATCCAGCCATGTAGCTAGCATGTTCAGAATGTTTCATCAGTGAATCACTCAGTAATTCATTTTAAAATAAGTCTGACTTGCCTTCGTCTGTTAAAAGATTCAGTTCAGGGCCCTCCCTGGTGGCACAGCGGGTTAAAGCACTGCACTGAGAAGCTTAAACCACTTCCACATGAGTTCGATTCCCGCCTGCTCCGGAGGAGTCCACATGGCGTGGCAGACCTCTCCTGAGCCGCCCGCTGCTCCCCTCAGCAGTGTACTTCGTTGATCTGCCTGTTCTACTCCCTGCTCTGTCTCTGGTGAATCCTCTCACCCTCCGCATCTCTGGCCTGTACCCCAGTTCTGTATGAATAAAAAAAAAAAAAGATTCAGTTCAAATTAAAATCAAGCTAGTGGGCCTTCTCTGGTGGCACAATTGGTTAAACCACAGCACTATGAAGCTAGACACAGCCACATCACCACCACTAGGAGGGTGTCCCACATGGTGCAACAGACCTCTCCTGAGGTCTTGGTAGTGTATTTGGTACACTACAGTGTGCTTGGTAGATTTGCCTGTTCTGTGCCCTACTCTGTCTCTGGTGAATACTCTCACTGTACCTCTGGCCTGTATCCCAGTTCTGTGTGCATAAATAAATAAATCTTAAAAAAAAAAATCAAGCTAGCAGTGACAAGATTATGAAATGACTACATCAACAAAGACTAGCCAAACTTGAACTACACAACTGCTGAATTGACTTCCCCAGACCCTATCAAATATGAAAGGATAATGAGGTAAATTCAATGTGCAAATATTTCTTTAGTATTTAAAACAATGCATGTGAATCATGATGCAGTGTAAGTTTATTTCTGATAGTAGAAGCTGAAAAGATGTATGGGAATTAAGAGGTTCTTTGATATTTCCATTAATTTATTGGAGAGCAATTGTCTAGATAATGTGCCTCAAGTATGTATATGTACCTGCATACAAACATAAAATATGCATGTACAATCTATCAACAGAACATAGCAAATATACAACTGACCCAAAATGCTTACAGATTAAGCTATTAATTGATAGAAAAGGAGATGAAAATATGGATGATCATTAAAAATCAAATAGCCAAAATCTAAAGTATTTTAATCATGATTTATAACACTAGGTAGTGTTCATCCCAGGCTACAAACAGATTTTTATAAGCTGTTCTTAGATTAAAATTACAGCTATTTTATTTCAAAAAGAAAATAAATATTTTTGAAAGATAAAGATATTCTTAGAATCTCCCAAATCAGTGTATTATGCTTGGTCACCTGTTAAATATGTATTCTTCTGTCACTAGCTATCATACACAAATTACTGAATGAGCTGGAGAACAGACAAACTTTATTGACCTCTGCATATGGCATTTCAGAAAATTAGAATGGCTCACTCTTTCAAAAAGTCAGTCAGAAGTCAGATAGTGTTTGCTCTTTTTTCTAAAATCTTTGTTTTATTTTCCAAGTTACTTGAAACTGATGTCATATTACAAATTATTTTTACTCATACATGTGTGTTACATACAAAATGAATGTAAACAAAAATGGCTACAAATAAAACTATATATATATATATATATATATATATATATTTGCAACTAGTACTCAACAAAAATACTAAATAGAATTGGCCATTTCCTAAAGTGTTACTACCAGGATCATGTTAGAAGGAAGTCTATTTGTGGATATAATAATAGAAGCAGGAGGGAAGATTTCTATATGGAAATATAGTATACTGAATTACATACAATGTATTAAACAATGCTTTAAAGTATTTTCAAAAACTCGGTTGACTTGTCTCTTTCACATGAAAGTAAAACATGCCTTCTTAAAAAGCTGTTTTATAAAGATCTCCATAAGGTATTTAGTTTGGCAAAAATTATAATTGCTTAATATGAAAGATGGAGAAAATAACTTTCTAAGACCTTTTCTTCCTTGTAAATACTAGTCTGTCAAAGCTGTATATTTTTCTTTTCATTTAGAATGGTTTTCAAATTGGTTGAAGGGTTTTTAATTTAATGTAGCAGACTGCATTAAGAAAAAGCTTTATTAAACTTAAATAGAATAGTAAATAATTTTTGAGAAAATTACAAAGAGAAAATTATAAGGCACATACTTATTGCTAGAGATCATAATGACTCTGGCAGAGGAGTTCCAGCAACTGAAATCATCAAAGTTCTTTTCCCTGTTGGTAAATTCTATTTATCTTCTCTTCCTGACCACAAGTAACAAATGTACTTCTATAAGTAGAGATGAAGAAAACACATGGAGCAGAAATCACATAACTTTTCACCAGTTTCCTAACACCATTAAGAGTACAAAATTATTCCAATATAGACCAATATTTTCTTCCTATAAAAGTTTGTCACTGACAACCATTTCTGTGAAATATGTAGTAGATAGTTTGGAGCATTTTAATATTTTGATAATAGTAAGAAAAAAAGTAGCTGGATTATGTCTCTGGGACTTAACCTTTCAATAGGTAGTAATCAAACAAACAGAGAGAAGCCTCATAGGATTTGGCCTAAAGACAGGGGTTTAAACAAATGGAAAATTAATATAAACAGAAAATTTGATACTTACGAGACTTGAAATGCCAGTGAAAAATTTTAAATACCCACATTAAAAAAAAAACACTAAGTTTTTACAATAAAATGTTTGAAGCTTCCAAGACTAGGAGAGAAGCAGGTGGGGAGAGTGAACAGTTGTATTCGATGTTTGCTTAACTGCATTTTTTTTTCTGCAAAGTATATCATCAACTGTTGAAAATCTCAATTATTCAGGAAAATTTAAACCCAGGTCACTCTTGCTGTCTTTACTTCTTTCCTCTTTCATAGATTTTTGCATTCAAACTCTTCATTTTTCCCATATTTTTGTGGGAAGGAATATATAAAACAATGTTTATCACAAAACAGAAACCCCTAATATTTGTTCAGTTCATAAATGTGTTGACTATATTGGAAAAACAAACTTCCTCTGTTTAGATGAATATACACAGAACTACTGCTTCCTGATTTTCTACAGAAAATCCTCCTTTGTTCCTCTTCAAGAGTTTGGCACAAAGGTTTAGCCAAAGATTATGGAAGATAGTACCTATTTCATGATGAGGTAGTACAATGGGTGCTTGTTCAAATTTGAATACAGGTGGAGAGGGAGAAGGAAATGAAGGCAATAGCTAAATTTATCTACTCTTAATATAAAAGAGTACTTGATTGATAAGATTTTAAAGAACCTACTGAGAACAAGATGCTGGTCTGAAGACTATATTAATGTTAGAAAGAATAGAATATTAAGAATTTGGAAAAACTAACAGAATGAATGTCATATCCTTGTTCACTGAAAAACTACTTGAAATACTCATTATTACACAATTGCTACTATGATCTTTGAAGATGAATTAAATCTAAATCATTAGTAACCCTGCTGAAACCATGGTGATTTCTTAGTACAAGTCTTTCAAACTGTCATTAATATTGAAACATCTCTACATTTATTCTCAACTCTAGCCCTTGCCTAATGCATACAATGCACACTCATGCCTCTTGACAAACAGATATTAATTAAAACCAAAAAGAATAATTAACTGAATTGTTTCTTTTGAATGCTTTATGTTATAAAATTAGTCTTTTATTAAAGATAATTAAATAAAGTTAAGTAGATTATACTGATATATTTATATCAACATGGAACCCATAGTGCCAAATCTTTTCCTCTATTTATATATATACAATATATATACAAATGAACAGTTTTAAGTTGACAACAAAACTAAAAGATACATAAGAGTTCTCATATGCACCCTGTTCCTAAACACACATAAACTCCCCTGTTATCAACAGTATAAGACTGGTACATTTGTTCCCAAGAAGGAATCATTGTTAACACATTGTAACTGCTCAGTGTATAGTTTACCTTAAGGCTCACTCTTGATGTAGATTCTGTCACCTTAAGCAAATGTATATTGAAATATACCCATGATTACAATAAAGCAGAGAAGTTTCACTGATATAAAAATACTTTGTTCACTTCTCCCTAGCAACCCACTGATTATTTTTTAACAAAAGTTTTGCCTTTAACTGATTAACATAGAATTGTTTTTATGTATAGTTAAGCAATTTGTCTCATACATCTTTCAAATAGAACACACTCATTCTTTACCTGCTGTAATACATTCAGTAGTACTTGTATCAGAGTGTATCTAATCATGTCTCTATTAAAAGATATGTTGGTTGTTTGCAATTTGGGGTTCTCAAAGTCAGTGACTTGTTGAAAATCTGCAAGACTGTAGATGTAAGACTACAGCCCATATGTTTTCTATGATAATTAATACTAAGAAACTAATATTTGGAACTTATGTCATGAAAAATTTTGAAATTACTCTAAAAGCAATTATTATTTTGGTATTTATGTCTAGCTCTATCTAGCTATCTCTCTGTCCATTTATCTGTCAACTAGGTACCATTCTGCCATTTAATCCTGAGACCACCACTTACTACTTGTATAATCTTAGACAAAATGTCACTTCTGTATGCCTCTGGTCCTTTATCTGTAAGAATAAAGCAATCAATAAGAATGCTAAGAGCACTTTACTCATAGGATAAGATTATCTAAGTTTGTGAGGATTAAATTATTTAATATATGGTGGGTCAGATGGTAAGGTGCTATGGTGCCTGGTTGGCAACTGCAAAAAGAAGTTTCATAATTGATGTGCCTGGCATCAGAATGCATATGGGATACAAAGGGATGGAAATGAAAAATCCAAATATGCTGATTAGTTTAGTCCAGCACTCTGAGCAGTGAAGATGACATACTGTAGAGAGAAGTGAAAACCAAGACATACAGGATGAACCAGCAAAGGCTGGGGCCTTGGAAATGGGAGTGTCAAGAAGTAGAAGATGATGGAGAGAGATGTAGACAGGAGCCTGAATTCTTCAAAAAACATGACTTGATGAAGCTTTGTTTTGACAGAAAACAAAGAGAAAAGCATAATAATGGAGCTTCCTAGGAAACATTCACATTTTAAATACCTGGCCAAGGAAGTAAAACAATTCTATAAAAGAGACAAAAGACTTATCATCATAAATATAGGAGGGTAGTATGCTTGTAATGTTATCCTAGGATTAAGTAACCAGGAAAAAATGTTGAAGTTTCATAACCAGAGGGCTTCCAGAAGGTTAAATCGACTAAAAATGTGGCTTTTTGTACTAATTTCACCATGGATATGGGTAAGGAAGAAAATAAACATTAAATTTTTGATTTGAGATACTTGATAACTGGTGATTATGTTAACTAAAATATTGAGCATTTAAAGAATATGAAGTGACACAGGTGTCTAAGAAACTTGAACTGGAGGTATCTGACAGGGAGTCAGAAATTCAGGTTTGTAGACAGGTTTTTACATCAATGAGCTCCTCAGGGGAGGATGTCAAGAGGATCATCTACATAGATGGTTTGCTAAGCAGAGTTAAGCAAACATTCCCGAGAATTATTATTTGTGTCTGTTTAGTATTCCAGATTTGTATGTAGACACAGTTACTCCTATGCAAATAAACAACAGTACTTCCTACTGGGTTGTACATAAAGTCAAGTGAAGAATTCAGAGCATGTGGAAGACAGCAATTAAGCTAGAGAAACAGTAATATTTTGAAATCCCTCATGGGGAGGGGGGGTTTTTGTTTGAGGTTTATCACGAAATTTCTCTACTCCAAAGTCTGGTGATGGCACACGGGTGAATTGGTGGTGGACACTCCACACGGGTTACAACCAAGATGAAAAAATGCACAATATGAAGATGATGTGAAATAAATAAATATATTTAATAATAATTAAAAAAGCACACTACTGAATAGTCTGAATGGTCTACTGTAACAACATTCTTGTTTCTTTTACTTCTTAAATCTTCATTTCTTTGTCATTTCCATTTTCTAGAAATTAATTAAAAGCCTGATACTATACATGCTGACTTTTCCACTGGAAATCAAGGGTGAGAATGCTAACATCTCTTCTTTTTCTTTGAAAGAGCAGTGTCTCACCACATTTGGCTTGTTGAAGCTGTTGTCATGTTAAAATCTACATAGTAATTTTTTCCCCTCTCTTTTAAAGATATGTCTATTTCATCCCTCAAAGAGAATGATACTACTAAAAAAAAATAGAGAAGAAACCCACATTGATAATTGTATTTGTTAAACTTGATTTCTGTTCTTCCTTTCATAGCTAAGGTAATCCATGTTTATTTAGTTGGTTATTTTTTCAGGAACTATTAGGTAGACCATTGAAACCATATGTAGATCTCAGGAATTATTTTTACCAGTTTAACCATAATGCATTTTTCATGATTGTTTTCTAGACCAAAATAGATTTAAAAAAAAAAGAAGAAAAAGAAATCAACTATAAAATAACTTACATTTGCATGGATTTCAGAAGCTGACCATAAAGAAATTGCATATTTAAAACTGCTTTCAGTATTTTGTCACTGTTTCCCAATGTGAATTTCTAAATAGTATTGCTAGTAAGAGACAAAATAGAGAATGCTATTTATAGCACTTGGAATTATTGTTGAGGAATGTTAGCATCTTTCTGGTTTGGACTGTAGCATTAGAAATTTTCAATACTTTATTTACATAACTTTTCATTTGTACACAAGCTTCATCAACAATCAGTTTAGCATAGTAAGAGAAACTGCAAATCAGTATTTTTTTTAGATTTAAATCTAAGCCCTTTTTTGCCCTTGCCCTTTCTCCCATAGTTTATCCCTCTAACCATTTATAGTAAACCTAACCACAGATTTTGCTGGTTTGGATACGTTTACTTCACTCAGTATCCATTAATTTTTATTTCTGACAGGATAAGCATATGGTCTTAACGTTCTATGAAATCAGATTCTTGGAACCAGGTTCTGTTATAAATTTCATTGCTCGTTACCTTTATGTGATGTTACATTATATACATCACTTAGCCTGCTTGAAAACTGTATAGCTGGAACAAATATATATTAACTTCTAAGTCATGCTTCCTTTATTTTAATAAATATGGAATTCAAATAAACATACATGTAGTTTATGGCTTTTCATGCATACTGTGTCACTGGCTACAATACCTTTGTTCATATTCAATATATTTAATTAAAACAAGAATGAGTGGATAAATATTCCCATTATTGCTTAATGCACATGTTGCCAAAGTTGCCCTGAGAGCCCAACCTAGCCTGTTGCCTGTTTTTGTATAACCCAATCGCCAAAAATGGTTTCTACATTTGTATTTTGGTATCCCTACATAATTTTTTACTAGAACACAGCCGGAGCCATTCATGCAGATACTATCTATGGCTACTTTGATGCTATAGGAACAAAGTTGAGTGGTTGCAATGGAAATCCCAGAACCTAAAATATTTACTATCTGTCTTTTTAAAGAAAAATTCTGCTGGTCTATGTCTAATGCAGAGCTGACTTTTTAAAAATTCTAGGTATCAAGAATTGTATGCAGATAAGCTAACACCAGAATAAAATATCCCTTTTATCAAAATTGATACAGGAAATTTATTCATTGCATGCCGTTGTGCTTAGTATTGCAAGACACTTCTCTTTTGCCTCTACTATTATGATTAAGGAAGCCTTTACCCCAAAAATAAAAATGCTGAATTTCAAGTAAGTTATGTTTTCTCCATTTTCCATCACTAGATGCTTGTGTGACTTAGTTTAATGCAGCTAGTGAACTGTAGGGATAACTCCAACATGGAAGTAGAAAAAAATCTCTGTGGTCAATATGTTATCATCTTGTTTCCTAGACAGGCATTAAATAAATAGTTGAAATAAAAGAAATATGATAGGGATTGCTAACATGGGCCATTTGGGTCATTGTTTCACCCACATTTTCATTAAAAGTTGAGAATAATTAAACTGGAAGGTAACATCTTAAAAGAGACTACTTGATAGTAAACTGCTACTTGATTTGCTAGAACTGTTTGAGTGAATGTAGCATTAATTCATAGAAAAAGAGACTGCCCATTTTTTAAAGTATGTTTATTTTTAGTTGCTTTGTTAAAAAAATAAGTTACTGGGCCCTCCCTGGTGGCGCAG